ATTGTCTTTACTTACACTTACTTCCAGTCATTCCCAAATCAGAACATAGGAATATTAACACAGCCAGCTCTCAAACTAGTAGCACTGATTCTTTCAGCTGGCCAGATCATGTTCTCATGACTGTTTCCCCAGCACACTGCTAGGAATATAATGTCAACAATAAACTAATGAGCTCCAGGAAACAGCTGGAGGAAGTTAACACAGCTACATGATGACGGAGATGATAAACACAGAGCAGAGTGAAGCTGCAAGGTGAGCCAGGCCGCTGCTCCTCAGCCTGCAGTGGGGCTAGGCTACTTTGTCATCTAGAGGCCTGGCCCTCCTGGCTATTCACGTGCTTTGATGCCAACGATACACTCAGCCTAGTGTCAAAGGAGTGAAACATGCCCTGCTTAAATACTTTGTGAGCAATGAAAACCAGGAGTACTTAGGTCTGTGTGACCTTTGTCTTCACTTACAGCCTGACAAAAGACACCTCAGTTCACCAAACCTAAGGTGATGACTGTGAGGGATTCTATTCCTTTATGTGGCACTGCCAAGTACACTGTGACACTGCTGTGACAGCCATCGAACTTCAGAGACAGCAGAGAAGATATACACATTCATAAGCAGAGAGGAATGTTACATAGCCATATTCACATTTACTACATACATATTTATATTAAATATTCTATACATTTGTCTTGGGGTCAACTAAATGAAATATGAAATGTCATTTCAGAATTGAAAAGCTTTTGGTTTTAACCTACTTTCTCTTTGTTATTAGCAATGAAAGAGAGAAACAAACATTTGAAGTTTTTCAAAATGCTATCTATCATCTAATACACAAGGCAAGGGTGGAGATGCACTTTGGTCTAGAGCTAAGATGCTGGCAATGTACTGGTAAATAGAAATGTGACAGAATGACCACGGCAACATTCATTCATTAATATCTGAGTGTATATGTAGGAAATCCCAATAAGGAATTATTGTGAAGAAATCAGAATCTTTACCACTGGAAAACATACTCATTAGTAGTTCAGCAGAGTTAAAACTATCAAATACTGATTCATCATTACACACTGAGTTAGGTGATATGAAAGAAAGGAAGAAGAGTTAGCAACACGTATAGGAAAAAACCTTGAAGAGAACAGGACACACATCCTCTACCAAGTGGTGTTTAAGTTGACATCTGGAGCAACAGAACAGGAAGAAGGTGCTGTTCCGTTTAATGAAAAAACTGTATGAGATAAAGATGAAATTGGCCCTTTCAGAAACTGAGAGAATGCCAGTTTGCAAGTGTAGAGATGGAGACAGAGAGGAGTTGAAGGCAGGAAATCAGATGACATAGAGGCCTGTAGGCAACCACTACTAGTTAAGGTAGTTTGGAGGGTAGAGAAGAGTCATGGTGCATTAAGAGCAGAAAAATCTTCTGAGAGGACCAGTAAAAATTAAGAAGAGCTTAAAGACTGATACAGGCCTGGTGAGAGGGCACAGTTGGAAAAGTGCTTGTCATGCAAGCATGAGAACCCTGGTTCAGACCCCCAATACCCATGTAAAAAAGAGGCGAACACGGCGGTACATTCCTATAATCCCAGAGCTGGAGAAGCAGACAGGAGGATCCCTGATGCTTACTGGACAGCTTGTCTATCTTAATCAACCAGCTCAAGACCCTGCTTCAAAAATTAAGGTAGAAAGTGACAGAGGAAGACACGACATTGAACTCTGGGCTCCATTTGTACATACACATACATGTACATATACCAACAAACACACATGTGCACAGGTACACACCACTGGGGAGGGGGGGAGGAGAGGGGAAAAGAGAGAGAGAGAGAGAGAGAGAGAGAGAGAGAGAGAGAGAGAGAGAGGGAGGGAGGGAGAGAGAGAGAGAGAGAACACCAATATGGCTGTTATGGGATGGGAAGTGGAAAATGGTTATGAAATAGAAACAATGGAAAGGCCTTTGCTTAGATTTAAAGGACATGAGGTGTGAGGTGAGGCTCATGGACTGTGCTTCAGGCATGCTGAGTCTAAGAGACCTTTGAGACCCAAGTGGAAATTTTCATCAGGAAATGAGGTAGCTGAGTCTGAGTCTCAAGGGAGTGTCTGGGCAGTACAAGGCTGGGAATGGTATCCAAGAACTCTAGACTGCTAGGGGACTAGACGAGGGAGTGGAAGGGCTCCTGAGTTCTCACATTTCCTTAATCCAGTACCTGGTATATTTGTTCTCAATCTATAGGCTGCCTATAGCTCTTAGAGCTAAGAGAATCTTCTTTCCTACTTGAAATGGGAAACTATGTTCATAATATCCCATGTTGAAAATATAAATATGCTTTCCAAAGAAAGATATTTGGCTTTCCCAAAAATGTATGTATTCTCATATTTTCCAAGACAAAAATATTTGGGAGGAGGTGGCTAGTTTTGATTAATTGATGGGCATAGTTATTCAAGTACCAATAATTCCTTTGTAGTTTGGAAATATGAATTAGCATAATCTATATACTTTAGACTGCCTACACTATTCTGAGGCATAACGCAAAAAAACAAAATCAGACGCTGGAAAGATGTCTCAGCAGTTAAGAGCATTTGCTGCTCTTGCGAACGACCTGGATTCAAATGCCACAATGGGCAGCTCACAATGACCAGTAATGCCTGTTCTAAGCGATCTGATGCCCTTCTGGTCTCCATGGGCACCTGCACATACATGATGCACATACATACATACACACAAACACATAAATCAAGATATATAAAATTTTAAAAAATAATAGTAAGTTTAAGCACTCATGAACTTTAAAAAATGATTAACAATTGATCTATTTGGCATTCTAATAAGGAAACCCTTACAAGTCTATATTTCTATGACTATACCTACTATGTAGAAATTATATGCAGATTAAATTTTTATTACTATGTTAAGGCCCTGTGTCACAGGTCTGTAATCCCAGCTACTTGGGAAGCTAAGAGAAGAGATTGCAAGTTCAAGTGTTACATGGGCTGAAGAGTGAGTTTAAGGTCAGCCTGAGCAACTTACTGAGACCTGGTCTCAAAATAAAAATATACGAAGAATGACAGAATGCTTGCCTAAACATTTGCGAATATCTAACTCATAAGTAGTTTATCACTATTAACAAATAGTGTACACTAAAATTTTGTCTACTTTGTGATTACAGAGAAATTTGCCTATAAAATTCCATCTTAATGAAATAAAAATAAATGTCAGCACTGGAAAATTACCCATCCTTCTACCACCGTGTCGTGCAATGCCTTGGAAGTCAGAAGAGGGCTTCAGATTCCCCTGGAACTGGAGTTAAGGTCAGTTCATAGTCGCCATGTGGGCGCTGGGAATTGAACCCAGGTCCTCTACAAGAGCAGTCAGTGCTCTTAACCACTGAGCCACCTCTCCAGCCTCCTCCTACACTTTTCTAACTTGTCTGCTTTCTTCTCTTGGCTAGGACTAGAACATTAGTAACCCTGTGCTGCTCTCTAGTGGTAAACAGAGAATGTAGTTCATTAGGAAGTTTACCATGAGTTCTCAATCAAAAAGCAAAGCTGTATTTCTGAATCGATCACGACGTGCAGCAGATTTGTATTGTCAGACAGTTGATCCATTACTACACCCTATCAAATGCAGTCTAAAAATACCTTAGTTAGCAGGGTATGGTGGCTTATGCCCCTAATCCCTACATTTGAGAAGGTGAGGCAGGAAGACTGACAGGACTGCCAGTCTGGGTTACATAGTGAGTCCAGGTTTGCCAGGACCACAGAATGAAAGCTACTGTCTCAAAACAAACAAGTAAGCAAAGACCAAAGCTATACTAAATACCTCATATTCTCCCATTCTCCCCAGCTCATAAGCTTTAAAGCTAAGGTGATACTAAATGTCTCAATTCTAACTGAAAAATTTCATTTTTTGTTTGCTTGAATTTGTTTAAATTTAACACTAATTTGAATAGCCAAAATTTATATCATTAAAATATCTTAAATTTATAATACTTAGAAGTACGCTTTGTGATCTGAAAAGTCTAAAACAACTGAAATCATTATTTTGAAAGCTTATGATAAAATAGACTATTTTTTGTAACAAGAGAAAAACTCCAGTTCAAAAGATAAACTGTTTGCTATGTAAGCATTTGCAGTGACAGAAGGGGTAAAAGTGGGATTATTTAAAGAAAAACTTAAAGAACAATCAGAACAAACTTAAAAGATCCTTTATTGCACTACACAGTTTGATATTTATAGAGTATTTTATTAAATTCGTTATATCCTGTATCAGTGTACAAAGAACCGAAGGTAATTTTCTACAAATAATCAATGCAGTAAAAGATAAAGATCAAGAAAATCAAAAAGGAGTGGGGGTGCCAGTAGAGTGACTGGTTGTTCATAAGTTGCTGGGGTTTGTTTAAAATTTGGGCTTGAACTCCTTAGCCACCAGATGAAGAAACTCATGATATCACTTATGTCCTAAGCCAACAAGAAGACCAAAGAGGGAAAAGCACTTTCCTAATTCTAGACCTAATTTTCATTCAGGTTCTAAATCTAGGCTCTCATGTGGGCAACTAATATTAAAGTTCAATTACCAAGTTCATAAGAATTAGGTCAAATTAAGAAAGGAGAAAATTCTGCTTAGTGTCTTACATGTTTTGTTTCCTTTTGCATTTAGGAGGGGCTAGATGACTAAAGTTCAAAGACAGGTGAGCCAGCTTAATCCAAACTCAGCATAGAAGACGGGTCACAGAACTCTGTGTAGGATACAAGTTAAAAAGCACACAACCAAATGACATGCAACCTTTAGTTAGAGTCTGACATGTCTATTTTTCCAGACATGAAGAGCTCATTTCTATGTTAGGGAAAAACTCCTTAAAGGTAAAGGTCAACTTTTCAGTCCTCTGTGTCTTTCACTGAGGATGTTTAATTCATAAGAAAAATTTACTGATGAAGGAAGAAAACAGATCTTCAGGTAGGGCTTTTGGTTTTATATTTTGAAATGGGAGGGGTAACTTTAATTTCATGTGTACCTTATAACAGTCTCCTCCAGGAATGACTTCCTGAATATATACCAATGGTCCTTCATTCCGGTTAATTCCTCCAAGGATCTTCAGACCCAGGCCTGTTTCCTTTGTAACTGTAATCATCCGAAAGGCAGAATCCCTAGGATAAAGGAAATTAGCACTCACAGGTGAGTCTAGAGATCTGTACCTATATTTTTCTTTAAGTTAAACTGTCAAATTAACACTAATCAAACTGTCATATCTAGATAACCCAAAATACTTTATGTATACTAGTAACTACATCCGAATACATGATAGAAAGTAATTGAATGAATGTTTACTTGTATTTTTAATTACCTCATAAAACAGTTATAGCAACAACGATGATTTCCTGGGTGTAAAAGAATTTTTTAAATGGTACTCAAGTAAATTTAAAGGATTTATGAATAATGCCTGAGATTTATTTTTAGCTGATTATCAGATTACAGGGAAAGGCTCCAAATGTTCAAATGTATCAAGTCTGCAAGTTCATGTTTGTAGTCATTAAAAGCAAAGTAAATATCACCTCCATATGAATCTCAAAAGAATTATCCTTTTAACTTAGGAAGAAATTTTTATTTTTGGGGGGTAGGGTCCTTTTGAGACAGAGTCGTCTCCCTGTAGCCCCAGCTAACCTGGAACTTACTATGTAGACCAGGCTGGCCTTGAACTCACAGAAATCTGCCTATCTCCACCTCCAGAGTGCTGAGATCAAAGACATGTGCATGCCTGGCAAGAAAATTTTACTTTTAAAAGTACTGGCTGCAGCAATGATTTCTGCCACACAGAGAAATGCCATCAGAAAAGAGCTGTGCAAAGAGTTCTACAGAAGAGGTATCATCAAGTTGCACTGTTGATCACTCTGGTTAGAAAAAAGAATTTTGCTGGTCAAACAAAATAATAAAGTAAAAAAGCAAGCTCATGGTTGCCTGCTTCCACATTATTTACTAAGACCTATCTACGCTGAGCAAAGACTATAAAATGCTACTCAATTTGGTATTTATATTTGAATCCTCATTTTTCTAAAAGACTCCAAATTCAAAGAGATTATGGTGGTATAAGGTCACAAAGCTAGAGAAGAGCAATGTGAGCCCAGTTTGCCTTCTTCAGAGCAAAGCGGGGAAGGAAAAACTTGCCCCACTGGTGTGTTAAGTCTTTGGTGAACTTGCCTCTCCTCAAGCACCACACCTAGACACATAGGAGAACTAAGTGTTAGGAGAGCTCCATCATATCTCACCTGCCATCACAGCTTTCTGAGCTCTGCAGAAATTCCACTTGTGTTTTTCAGAAAGCTACTGTGCTAAAAATATACGTAATAATAAAATACAAGAATGAGTATTGAAATTTACAAAATCTCACATTATTTGGAGCTGCACTATGCTGAACTGATCTCTAGTGTTGGAAAGCCTATGTAGAACAATATAGGCAATAAAGGAGAAAAAAGGCAGATGGGAACAGGCCTAAAGTATCACAGCAACAACAACTTTATCACCCCAACTCATTCTTTATGGGGTATTAGGCTGCAAAAGCACACCAAAGTGGGAGGTGAGACGCGAGAGAACGAGAAGTGAAATGCCTGCCTAGAAAGAAGATTCTGTGCTGTGGTTATTTTGTTTGTTTTTTTTTTTTTTTTTTTTTTTTTTTTTTTTTTTTTTTAAATGTGTTTTTGTTTTCATTTTCTTGTTTTCTTTTTTGAGACAAGGTCTCACTATGCAGACCAGGCTGCCTTTGAATTCAGAGATCCACCTGTCTCTGCATGACAGTGCTAGGATTAGAGGTATGGCACACACACTGTCCAGCATATACTACTATTTCAGTACAAGCTACCTCTTTTTCTAATTCTAGTAGAGCACATTTATTAGCACAACAGTGCATTTACTTATAACTCTTTTTATTTACAAATCTATCTGCATTGTATTCTTCTGAATTGATACTACAATATATAAATACTTTTATATCTGCCTTTTTACAAAGAATCAAGATACATAATCTTCCATGTTATTAACAGTTCTTCTTGGACTGGAGAGATTGCTCAGTAGCTAACAACACTTGTTGCTCTTCTAGAGGACCTGAGTTTGATTCCCAACACCCACATCAGACTGTCTGTAACCCCAGCTTCAGAGAATTTGATACCTCTGGTCTTGAAGGCACCTGCACTCATGTGCAAATACCCAGAGACATACAGGTAGACAAAAACACAGATGATTCAAAATAATGAAAATAAATCTAAAAAAAAAAGAAACATGCATTTTAATCTCAGCACAGATCTTATTTTGACATTACATTAGAGTTGAGATTTTTAAATTCCTTACATTTTCTTTGTTTTGCTATTAAAACATATTCTGAAACTCAACTTTAATCATAACAAGAGAATCACAGGTTAAAACTATGCAGACACCATTGCTCACCCACCGTAGCAACACAATGCTAAAACCCAAACAGCATGTTCTCACCACAGAGCTGTAGGAATCTAGGCACTTTGATATGCTGCTGTTAGGAATGCAAAACAGAACCTGAAAGAACAAATATAGTCATCTCTAACAAAAAATTACCTTCCTTCCACAATTACTGTTCTACGACTTTTTCTCAAAGAAACTCTGGGAAACAAGTCATTCATATCCTAAGTTCTTTATTTTAGCACAATTTATAGTCATCAAAAATTTAAAAAACCCAAATTTCCATCAAGAAGCTACTGGCTGGATAGACTATGGGATATACATAGGACAGAATATTAGTTTTAACAGGAAACAAAGATCTTTATAAGCTGATATAGTGACCAGGATATAATCTTCAAACAAACAAAAAAAGGTCAAAACTATAAATGTAGTTTTTTATATATATATTCTTAACATTTCAGTTAAGAATATTCTGGAGGGTGGAATCCATATCTATAACTATATATATGTGTGTGTGTGTGCATATATATATATATAAAATCTGTATTATCTACATGTGCATGCATATGCTTATGCATAAAGGAGCACTAAAAAGAGCCAAGATTAAATGGCTTATCTACACAAAGACTGAATATGTAGGGGAAAGGACAGGGACATGAGCAGGCCTTCCCTGATTCTACCTTGTGCAATACATGCTATATGTCTGGGAAACAGCAATGTCCCCTTCCCTGTCCACATGCTACTTGGCAAGGGGCCTCTCTATTCCCATTCATTAAAAGTCAAGTCCATTATCTCTACCGCTCGAATTTGGACTTGCCCATTTGATTGCAAATGTGAGGAAAACAGATATGTGAAAACACTTCCGCTTACTGCTGGGAACCATTCTGCCACCAGGTGACAAAGCCGGAGCTAGCTTTCTGAAGGATAAGAGCCAGGTAGGAAGTTATCTCCCTCCCTCTATTCTACACTGAGGTGTCAGAACACTGAAGGAGGCCATTCTACACCATCTAGTACCAACAAAAATTTCTCAGCCAACCCAATAAAACCATAGAAAAAAGAAATGCTTATCATTTTAATGCATTCTGGAATGGTTAGTCAGCAAAAGCTAATCTTAAAAAATTCAAACCAGTTTGTTTTTTTTTTAAAAGCACAATCTGTACAAGTGATTTTAAAGAGAATGCAGGATTTGTTCCATATATTGATTTACATTATAGTATGGTTTGGAAGTGTCCCTCAAAGGCATCTGTGTTAATAGGCCTGGTTACTAGCCTATAAAGGTTAGTGGTAGTACTTTAAGAGGCAGGGCCTAGTTAGAAGGTACTCGGTCACTGGGTGGACTGGCCCTGAAAGGGACACTGAGATCCTGGTCCTTCTTTTCTGCTTCCTGGTTGTAAAGTGGTGAAGACACTACCTTTGCCATCATGTGGTGAGCCCCCACAGGCTGAAAGTAATCAAGTGAATAGAGATTGAAACCCTGGAACTGTGAGCCAAAAAAACTTTCATGTTTCCAAAGTTGATTATCTCAGGCATTTCTGTCAGGGGTAGACAGCTGTGTAGCACACCTTAAACACAGTTATTCAATGTATTGCTGATTCATTACTCATTATTACTTTCCTAGACCACATCAGCTAGCTAGCTGTGAAAACGTAAAACAAAACAAAACCATAACTCTAAACGTTCACTAATAGTGTATGTATTTCAAAATATGGCATTTCACAACATATTAAATTGATGTAGAAATTACTTTTCCAGTAGACCAGAGGATCCTGCAGCAGACATATTTTTGTTCACGCTTTCACCAACAGTTGCCTTGAATTTAACAACAGCTCTGTGAGTGGAGAACTGGCAGAGTCTAAATATTCTTCTTTTCCTTGGACAGGAACAACAGAGAATACATTTTTAGGTCTTAGAACAAACAAATTCAGTGGTAATTTACATTAAAAATACTATATACACACATATATGGCAATAAACACTATTAGCCCATGCATATATTGACGTATTTTATTTATTGTGGGCTATGACATTTTAGTCATTGCTGATAACTTCTGAAACATAAAACAGCTCTCTGCACAGATAGATGGGCCTATATCTACATCACTATGAATACATTAAATCTGTGTTCTTTGGCAAAAGTGAAGAATATAATGAAATTTTCAGCAATTATTACAACTTGTTCCAGTGGTAAGCCTAAAAAAGGCAAAAGACTGAAGAAAATCTCCTGTGAGCACAAGGCTATGACGTTTTTAGTCAGAAAAATGCTTATAAACACACGTGATGAGAGCAGGCCCTCCTGCCTCACCAGTTCTCGAGGGGCTTCCCACAGATCCTCTGCTCCTCTGACTCATATTACTCCATCAGCTTCTTAAACACTTTCCTATGGAAAGGAAAAATAATAATTTCAATGTCTTACACAACTCCACTGTGAGTAATACGGAGACCATGCAGTTTCACTTATTAAAACAAAGTATACTCAAGCAGAGGTTCACTACCTGTGCATGAAAAAACAAATGAAGCTAAAGAGCTTTCACTTTACTATCATGAGTGAATGCTACATGCAAACCTTTAACTCATACCAAAGTACTCCTGGGAGAGAAAGACAACATAGTCTAAGGTCAAGAACTCATTTTAAACTCAAACACAGGCTTTTCTTTATTTTCTTTTAACTGTAAAAAGGTATAATTGATTGAAAACAGCTAGCATTTAAAGTTGAAAACCACATTAGGATCATTTAATGCAACTCTCTTAAAAAAGAAATGAGTAGTGAGATTTAAAGGGACTCTGTACTTTTCCCATATCAATGTATAGAGATTCTTTCCCCAGCAAGAACTTGGGCTGTACAGCCCACAGCACGAATTCTGGTCTTCATTACCCTTGGTTTGAATCCAAGTTTTCCAGCACTTCTATGGTAGCTAACAACCATCTGCAACTCCAGTTCCAGGGGAATCCAACACCCTCTTCAGATCTCCAAGCGCACTGCACGACATAGGTACACTTACATACATGCAGGCGATACACTCATACATATAAAATAAAACAAATAATTTTCAAAAAGATCCAAGTAGCAGGAACAATGGCTGTACCTAGGTCAACACCAGTCAGAGCAATGATGCCACCAAGCAACAGCACTGTCACCAGAAAAAGTCCAACAACTGTAAAGCAAGAAAGTTTCTCAGTTCTACCCCTGAGCGATGACTTGAGGAAGGAACTTTGGGTAACAGTGACCCAGAGATGATAGCCTCTGCAGCCATGGGAGAGAATTCAATTCTAATAATGTTTGCATGAATTCATCATAAATCACTTTAAAAATGTATCCATGGGGCAGAGTCGCAAACCTGGAGAGATGTTTTGATGTAACAATAATAGCAGCTACAATTTATTGATACCATTTGTCACAGATTGTATGAAATATTTCAGATGCATTATTTTTTTTTTTATTCCAAAGAGAGGTAATTTTAGCACATTTTTTTCCGGAAATAACTTGAAGCAGTTTACATAAAAATATATGTACAATGAATTTTAAGGGGGGGGGGCAGGGGAAGGAATAAGAAATCAAAGACCAAAAGATCTGCTAACATAGGGTCAACTTTAGTGGGATAATGAAGGTTTCCATTAGATCTGTTCTTTTTTGGAAAATCCTAATGAGTTTTTTGGGCTTGCTAACAAAGCATAGGGTGGGGGTTTATTTACAGAAGAGTGGGTGCCCCCTCATTAATGGCTCTGCTGGATGCATTATTTTATTTAATATGATAAATGCACTAGATGTACCTTAAAGAAGCAAGCACACATTGCACTCCTGTCACATGCTGGTGACATGGTCTCAGAAGTTAACTAACCTTTTGGTACCATCTCATATTAAAGTAGGTACAGCAACCCAGCGCAAAGGTAAAGATGAAAAACAGTCTTTTGACTGGCACTAAAGTGACTGAGGTCCCCATCTAGTGGTGGTTTGTCCTAACAGAACACAGGTTCCCCCTGGAATATAACAACATAAGGCTATGTCAGTGCTAACTGTATATTTCACACAAAGCCAAAATGAACAACACATTTTAAGAGATATTCTATTTTAAAGCATCAAAAATTGATTGCTTAAATTATTTCTCTCACCTAAACATGCCTGGCAATGTACTACCTGCTACAGCTGAATGAGAAGCAGGGGCTATCCCCAGAGACAGTCCAACAGACACCAGGAGGTGTCTGACAGTGTATACACAGGCACCCAAGTGG